CATCAATCAAAAATTGTCAATGTGTAAAGGATTTATTATATTTTTATCTAGAAATTTAGTCAAAGCAATTCAAAATTAAATTAGAACCAATTTTCAGATTTAATAATAATTCATAATTCGTCTTATACCTGTAACATTTATTGAGAGAACATTATTTTTTTAAACGTTAAATGGCTTGAAAACTGCTTTCAGTGACTTTTTTTTCAGAAAATATTTTTTAAGGGATCAGATTATTTCAGAAACATTTTAAAAATTGGTACAAATGATGAAGGATAATTTATTAAAAATAATCTCTACTTTTAATATACCGAGTCAATGACTGTGATTTTTGTCGCCACGTTGACAACAAATTTGAAATCTTAATTTGGCAAATTCAAATTCTTATAGTTAATTAATTGTCATTCATTTTCATCACAGACTAAAAGGATTAGCAAGAATTCAGTGTTGCCAATAGATTTTTTCATCTGGCACTGTTTTTGTAAAGATGGCTATTTGAAAAAACATAAAAACAATGTTTAAACTTCAATCGTTTCAATTCAGGCAACGTCGCAACTACATTTTGGAAGAGAAATAGTTTACAAAAATCTGAAAAACTATACAGTATGATGAGTTTACAAGAGGAAAAAGTTTCAAAGGAATAACATTTTTTGCTTAACATGAAACAATTATTCTGACTTTGATTTAATAAATAAAATTTTATTAATTCTATGTACTTAATTTAATTTTTAAATTGCCTAAAACTAATAGTAAGTGATAGAAATAGTGAGTCTGTTGAAAGACAATTTACGGAAGAATCCAAAAATAATAAAATATAGAGGGTGTTCCATTTAAATAAACAGTAAATTGATGTCACTTCCGGTAAAACAGGAGACATCATTAATTGAGCATTTATTCAAAAAAATAGATGATAAACTGTTCAACTGTGTTCTAAGAACTCGTACGAGATCTTTAAAAATTATGGAGTTATGGCTTAGGGCGTTTTTTATAGTCCATTCTGTATATAATACATATTCAAAAAATGCCAACTTACGTAATAACTAATAATATACAAAATCGTAAATGGGGTAGTTAACCAGTCCAGATAATAATAACACTGTCAGTTACTCTACTTTTAAAAAACATTTGGGTATTGTAAAGTAACTTTTATTTATAGATAACTATTTCTGTGTAAATAAATGATTGTGAAAATGTATTTTTAACGAAACTTTTAATAAATTTGCTTGAAAATTTAAGCTTTTCGTCTTTATAGTTAAATATAAAATGATGGCATTTGATCAAAATCAACAACTTTCTTACACAAAGAGTGGATTTACAAATTCTTCTTAGCACTTGACGATCGAAGGTAAATTCT